AATGGAAAACAAAGTGGCAAAACTTTTTACAAGAAAACACGGTAGAAAAATCTGTTAGGCAGCACTAGAAGAGTTCCTTGACTCGCCTTACATGTTCTATTGAACATTTGCTTCCGAGTTCATTCTGACCCAAGTAATGCAATCCCCATCATCCCAAATACTCAGTATATTTCATGTTTCATATTGGGATCTGGTGTATAGGTATTGGTATAATTCTATACCCATTCTAACATCTTACCAACTACAGTAGGAGGACTGGAGCCCAAACTATCCCACCTTAAATTTAAAAATACATTAGAATTCATAAAAATGTAAAATGTTTGCTTTATGAAAGATCCTAGGAAGATGATTGAAAGATCAACCGTATACTCAGAAACAAATATTTGTAAATTGTCACTCTCGGGACTGACTCCTTCCTCGGAGGTTTCCCTGAATCTTAGGCAAACGCTGTGTTCTTCCATAAAGCGTCCTCCAGCCAGAGGAGATCTCAGGGTTATAGCCCCTCCACGTATTGCTTGAGGTCCCTTCCCCTCCAAAGTCCTCTAAGATCCCCGCGCCCACATGACTCCTACCCATCTTCCTTATGGTCATAGTCCTTGGCCATCTCAACCCAGCCTGCAGATTCTCAGGTCGAACAGTTTGGATAGTGCCCATAGCGCATGTTACAAAGTCATGATCCCGTATTTCAACTGGCTTTTTAAAAAAGAAGGGGAAAAAAAGGGTGATAAAATCGTTTTCAACCGCTTCTCATGGTTAGAGCCTTTTCCGTGCGAGACGGCAGGCTCCAAAACAGCTGTTCCCGGCGAGCGTCCTTACTCCGGGGCGCAGGTATATTGCGTCATAAAGGCACATCCTTGCTTGGAAGTCCGCGACTTTGGAGCGAAGGCTTTCTGGCCCTTGTCGGACGCCATCCCCAGGGCTGCACAGAGTCGACCCCGGCCAGCGTGTAGTGGATCACGGTGCCACACAAAGGCAAACGTTGAGAAACATGGGTTTTCTGTGATTCGGCTCCAGCAGGATGGAGACCGGGGTTATCCAGTCAGGTCTGTGGTGGGTTCGGAGAGTATTTTGAAATCAGGCAGAGCGCGGTTTTCCTGTTGTCATTGTTTTTCGCTAGCGAGTGGGGGTCCACTTGGGGGACTGGGAGGCCTTGCGGGGGAAGGTTTTTTTTTTTTTATTTAATTGTGTCAGAGTCTCACTCTGTCGCCCAGGCTGGAGTGCTGCCGCACACTCACGGTCACCGCAGCCTCGACCTGCTGGGCTCTGGCGATCCTTCCGCTTCAGCCTTCCAAGTAGCTGGAGCCACAGGCAAGTGCCACAACGAGCGTTTAGTATTTGTAATTTATTGTAGAGAGAGCTCTCTCCACGTTGCCCAGTCTGGTATCGAGCCCGAGGGCTCAGGCACTCCTCTGGCCTCCACCTCCCAGAGTGCTGAGATTACAGGCATGAGCCGCCGCTTCTCGCTGTATTTTCTGATAGGGTTTATGTGGAGTGTGGAGAAGGCCTTATTGAAATGACTCACTGTGCTAACCTCGCATTGCTTAAGCGTCCTCCTGTTTTCACAGCTGGCACCTGCTTCCTCAAGGTCACGTCTGAAGGCTGCGTGACCACCGTGGTCCACCTGCTTCCGTAGAATGACGTGTACTACGTGACCACCAGACTTCAGTGATGGGGTATAAGTGGGACCCACAAAAAGAACAAGGTGTTCTTTAGGACCTGTCTTTCTCTTGTTTCCCTTTAATAAATTACCATTTCTTTGCCTGACTGGTACCCGACTTGTTCTCTTTTTCTCTGCACTCGCCTTACATGTTCTATTGAATATTTGCTTCCGAGTTCATTCTGACCCAAGTAATGCAATCCCCATCATCCTAAATACTCAGTATATTTCATGTTTCATGTTGAGATCAGGTGTATAGGTATTGGTATAATTCTATACTTATTCTAACATCTTACCAACTACATATTTAAATATTACACATTCTTTGAATGTTTTTTCTTTTTTTCTGAACCTCTGCGGTTATGTTCCACTAAGTGGGTGCTTTAATTTGGGCAGAAGTGATGTAGATTTAGGTATAATACTTTCATTAATCAAGTTTTTTGCTTCTTTGACTTGCTGGAGTGTTTTTTAA